TAGTAGTCAGTCTCTGAAAATTAATTAAATTTAACTATGAACACGAGTTCAGTGCTATGTCCTTTGACGCTGTCTTGTGTTCTCATGATCGCGGCTTGTCCAGAACAACCCCTGTCTGACAGTCAGTCTGACATCAAAATCGACAGGATTTCCAGAAGTCGTATACTCTTTAAACATCGGTCTCTCAACTTGGAACACGGGTGGATTTGGCGTGCTACGTCCTTGCAGGCTGTATTCTCCATTGCAAAAGACTTCAATGCTGTCAGGCCGACGACAGGACCTGCTGGCCGTTCCCCGAAACCTCAGAGCTTCTAGTATCGACACTCGACTAGGCCTCAGCCCGAGATACTTGGCAAAGCAGCTTACGCTTCCACCTAGCAGTCTCTATGATTTCGGCCTCGGTCAGTTTGGCCCGGCCCTGTTGCGACCCGTTTACAGAATGCGCTGACACTGGCCGGCTTTGAGCTGCAATCCGGAGCGCAGGAAGTACACTGGCTTGCTGGCGCTCAGGAGTTTGTCAGTTTTGTAGAGGCGAAACGACCAAACGCGCTTCAGGGGTGAGACTCCGCCCACCAAAGAGCGGGTGTCGAAAAACGACGCCAGGTTCCGTCCCGTGACGTTCTTCAGCTGAATGGCGTGGGGTTTGAACACCATGCACGTGCCATCCTTCTTCGCGATCTTGAACCTGGGCTTTGCTGGGCTGTTCCGAGTCATGCAAACAACAAGTGGTTTTTACTCCCCGACTGAGTGCGCACGAGTCGCTTGTCTTCCTTGGCATTGGAACCTTCAGCCGCCAACGTGCGGCTGCAGTCGTGGCCTGCAACCTCGAAGTCGACCAGGCCTCCTGCTTCGATCTTGATGAGGAGCTTTCGCAAGCTCAGGAGGTCCGTCGACGCCTTGTTCTCCTCCTCATAGATCACCTGCTCAAGGTCGTTCTGCAAGACGAAGTCCACAGATTTCTCCGGATGCTCCTGCAGCAACATTTCTGCCCTGAAAGTGACGAATGATGTGGAAGGACTATCTGACCCCTCCTCAGGATCCAAGGCTCACCCCTCTTCGGGGTTCTCAATGCTCACCCCTCTCCGGGGTTCTGAATGACCCCTCTTCGGGATCCAGGACTCACCCCTCTTCGGGGTTGTGCTTGATCCCTCTTCGGGATGCAGGGCCCCATCTTCGGGGTCTGAGGAAAAAAAAAGGCTAACGCTGAAGATTCGAATCCCGCTGTGTGTTCATTGCCTGAAATTTCCCGATTTCTGGTGCGCCCGTCCTGAAGCCAAGCCGTGGCCTTCTGGTCGATGACCCAACCGCCTTGACCGTGGGTGATGAAGGGCTTGTCGGCGCCGATGTCGCAGTCCGACTCGGCGCAGACGAAGAGCTTCGGGTCATCCTCGCCGCCCGCACCCACAATCTTGAAAGTCACGCCTGCACACCCCGTGGAGTCCAGAGGGCAGGTGTGCAAGACGTCTGACTCCTTCAGCTTCTCGCAAAGACGCGGCTCGTCGACGAAGAGCTTGTCCCAGTCCACAGAGTCTTTTGCCAGGCCGTCGTCTTCGGTCGATGGTGCCGCGAAGTCGGCTGGCGTGCCGTACATTGCGTCGAATCGCTTGAGGAAGCTTCTCCATTCACCGCTCCGCACTGCATCGCATAGGAACTCCTGGCGAATGGCAGGCGGGATCAGAAGCACATTGTCGGAGACCACGCAAATGCTCAGCTTCGGCACTTCCACTTTCTGTGGCATCTCCGCAAAGGGGGGCTCCGGCACGTACCGAGGCACAAGCTGGCCCATGTAGCCTTCGCCTCGCTTCCATTCCTGCACAAGGATCGCAACGAAACCATCATCATTCGTTGTCTAAGTTCAGAGCTCGACTGACGTGATAATGACTGTTGCATTCACTCGCACAGTAGGTCTGGGGTCTCGGCCTCATGGCCACAACCCCTTATAGCAGAACCCGGAACAAGCATCCGCTGAATTGAAGCATGAGCCATGCAATGTTTTCGGCTAACAACTCTTCGTGGCGTTTTCAGGGCCTTACTTCCCGTTGCGAGTTGCAAGGCATGTGATGCTTGCTTGCCGATCAGGAAGCATATTAATTATGTAGTTTCCAGATTCCGAATCAATGCTTGTGCGAAACTGCTGGTCCGAGTACTGTCATTTACATCGAATACGCACTTTCCAGCCTCGAGCATCCATGGAACGAGAAACGAGTCTGGACCTCTCTGCGCCATTTGACATGCTTTGGCACGTGCCAGCCGAAAGAGTTTCCGAGTGCCATGCTGCTGCAAATTGCCCTGAGCCAATTAGGTCAGCTGGAGGGCGCCAGTCGGGCACACTTCAGTAGGAGCTTATTTTATTCCATGCTTGACAATTGCTGTCACTTCAAGCTGGACATCCTCTGCGTGTCATTGGTCATGTTTTGGCATGTTCTTGTGCAACAGGATTCAAACCATGCGAGCACGACTTCAATGTTGTCAGATTTCTGCTCAAATGCACACGAACTTTGGTGTTCTCAGGCCTGTGTCTCCTAAAACCATGGCTATAACGCTCCTACAAAGAAACAAACCGTGGAAGACGAGTGATGCCCCGCCCAACCAACCCATGGTGCCTCCAAGAGAGCCTCCCCAACAGTGGACGCGGCGAAAGACAGCACAGCTGAGGTCTCCGTCATGCTGATAACGGGGACGCCGAGCTCATAGCAGACACGCTCCAGGCAACCATCGTACATCGTGGTGTTGATCACAATGGTTGGCTTTTTGCCATCCGCGACACCCAGACTCTTCAGGATCGCCGTTGGAATGGCCGATCCGCCCAGCCATTGCGCCGTCTCCTGGGCCAATGTTCTACTATTTGACAGTACATGGACCCTTAGGGTTTATGACATCACACCGCTCCTGCAGGTGCGTCAGGTTCCGACGCGCCTGGTTCGTCAGCATCTTGGTTCCCGGCACCAGGAACTCACTTTCGGGGATTGTTGCCGGCAAAGGAGGCTGCAGGCCGCGAAGCTTCCAGAGAGACGAGCATGTGTGCCTTTGCATCAGACTTGCCACGCAAATTCAATCATCCTGCATGTCCTTCTCACAGTGAGACAAGTCACTTGTTTACCTTCACACTTGTGTCCTTCAACTCCCCGGCTGCCGGACGGAACGCTGTCCCTTTCAGCGGCAAGTTCACGTCCGGAACGGCCATGTAGGCATCGAAGTATCCAGGAACTTCCCGGTTGCCGTGCACCGCCGACAAGTCGACGGCCAGCACGACGGGTCTGTACTCCAAGTTTAGGTTGACGAGCTTGTCCTCTATGATCCTGCCGGGTTCAGGATGCTAGCGACAGGAGTAGCCAAAAGTCGAGGCACATACATGCGGTCATGAGGTCTGATGTGGCCTGTACTCTTTCCTCAGTGCGGCGCCGGAAGTGCTGTTGCACAGGAGAGGAGCGATGGTCAGGGCCATGTTACCTTGTGCATGCCATGACCAATCTTCCCAAAGGATGAACTACTGTACTGTAACACTTGAGAAGTTGTCATTCCAACATTGATTCGCGCTGGACCGCGACCGCGCATAAATGAAACACGCGATGCAGCCGCAAGACGCTCGCCGTTCTTGCAGACGATGTTGGCCTGGAACTGCAAGTGCTTGTTGACGATAATGCTGTTGACCGAGCCGACTTTCGTGAAGTCGGTCCAGACCACGACCTCCACATCATCCAGCGTGGCCTGAAATGGAAAGGGTTGCCTCTGCCAACCTACTCTGCCTCATGATCACTGCACGGGCCTTCTTGCTGAAGTCGATGGCGGCGTTACGGATGAAGGTGTCCAGGCTGGGGATCGAGAGGTCACCGGGCACGCAGAGCATCAGGCACCGCCGCTGCATCGCCGTCTCCACCAGCCTTTGCTTGGGCATCGCTCCATGGGCTGACGAGAAACAAAAAGTATTTTGCAAACATTAACTGACAGAGTCTCAGCTCGGCCGGGCTACCCCTGCCCGATGGCGTTTTGGGCCCGTGTGTGGGCCACTTTGAGCACGTGTTCACGGGCCGCTGTGGACTTGCCAACCTGCAAATACTTGGCCCACTCATTTTCGTCCGAGGCCAACTTTGCCAGGACTTCCTGCGCATGAAACAGTCTTGAAGCTTTGAGACTCCTGAGCCACGCAGCTCAAACACGAGCCGTCCTGATACCGTGCCGCGGTTCTGGCCTCCTCCAGTTCATCCAAGTTCACATTTCCAGCATCGAAGGTCGAGGTGATCGTCGCCTCCTTCATTGGGACAGCAGCAGCTTAAATTAATTACATGTCATGCACTCGTTCCTCGACGAACTCGTTCCAGGGCGTGAGGTGGGAGAGCTTCCAGTTCGGAAGCTGCGTGTCAACAGCCAGCAGCACTTCATCAAACCATTCCCTGACACCGGAAGTCTCAAAGACATGCATCTGCAGCCTACTCAATAGCCAGCAACACAACGCGAACGATCTATACGAGCCTGTTATCCACAGCCTGCTTCAAGGAAGTGAGGTCCTTGGCGGGAAACTGCTTGGAGGCCTCCTGCAGCATGTGATACATGATGCAGCAATAGTCGACGGCTTTCTCGAAGTCTTCGGTTTGGGGTCGGCATTTCGACCGTGCGGATGCCCGGATCCGCTTTCCCGCCCTCAAGAAAGCGAGGATGTGGTTGCGCACGAAGAAAGCCTGACAAAGTGTCTGTACAGTCCAGAATCATCTGAACATCTGCTCAAACACCTGTAACCTGCCTGGATCTCTGGTGTCACGAGAAGCAGGCTTCGCATGTAGTTGTGATCAACTCGTCGGGAGGCGCCCAGCAACCATCGGCTGGACTTGATGAGGCTGTGGCTGAATGCCGAGTCTTTCCATTTCGTTGTGTGCAGATGGGACTGCATCAACATCAGGGTCTCCTCAGGCTGCTTCACCGCAAACCGAGGCAGTAAAAGGAACGGCATGAGTTTGCAACGACCTCACGCTCGAGGCCCTGGCCTCGCAAGTCCCTACAATCACGTTGCAAACGGCCCTCATCTTTTCACCGTCGAGGGCGAACTTGGACGTCATGAGGGAGCTGCTATTAAAGTCTTCCACGATGGCCTCGATCCGTCGTTCCACGTTCCATCCGGAGGGATGTGCTCCCTGCTTGGACTTCGTCTTCAATATCTCGTTGAAGCGCAAGGCCAGCGAGATGATCCTGGGCTGTTAATCTGAAGACCCTTACTCTGCCTAATAGGCAAGCAGAAGCCAAGCATCGAAGGGGCCTGTCTCTCCGCTCCTCTGTACGACAGGGCCAGGTTGGAGAAGCTCTGCTCCACGGTTGACATGTTCAGCGACACCTGAGCACCCAACGAGTTGTAAATGCAACTTCAGCAGCAGTCATGGGCGGTTTCCGTAGCTTGAGACACGGAGCATGGCAGGGAACCAAGAAGGCACGGTCGAGCAGCATGGTGAAGGGCTCGATCAAGGCCCAGTCCTCCTCGGAGTCCGGATCCCGCTCCGCCAGGATCGCCAAGGAGAATGCCAAACAGCTCGCCTTCGTGAAGCCCTTGATGATGTCCACGGCCACTGTCGCGAGCTTCTGTGCGTGGTTCCCGTTGAGCTGAACGCTCACACTCAGCGGCTCCCGCGCGAGGTCTGTGCCAGTCACCAGCATGCTTTCCCATACTCCTATCCAGTCCCTTACCGGCGGCAATCCGTCCGCCGGACACTGGAACCTGATTCAAGCCAGAGTTTTACCGAAATCAACGGTTGAGGGTTTAGGGTTTGCAAAATCACGTCCGCGACACTTCAGGGAGGTCAGCGGGATCTTGACGGTGTCGCCGGATGACGCTGAGTCGATGACCTCATTCTTCAATGCAGCTTGAAGCTGCTGATACTTACTGTGAGTCTAAGGCGAAGTACATGACTACGCTTTAGACGGGATACACAGTCTTTCAAGGGCTTGAAGACAGCAGTGCCGCCCCGCTTCTTGGCATACCGCTCGAACCAGCTTTCCAGATGGTCCCTGTTGAGCTCGTTGTGCTCTGTGTTCCCCGAGGCCAGATACTGAAGCACGGCATAAGCAGGATGCTCGTGAGGCTTCAAGACCTGAAGATCTGCAGCATCCTGCTGCCAGAAGCTGAGGTACTCCACGACCTCCTGCAAGAATGCTAAGGAAGCCCGCAATCACTCAAAACTGCAGTATTGTCTAGTGTAGGACCCTTTGAAGGATGAAATTCCACAGGGATGCCTTCACGAGCTGCAGGTTGCCCTTCAGCTTCGACAACTGTTTCTCGAACTGGGAACACCACTTCTTGGCGGGGGAGGCACCCGACTCGGTTTTCACACCGTCTTCTTTGCACGCGACTTTCTCCTCGATAGCCTCCTTGCACCGTTGCAGAAAACCTGCCATTCCCCTGAAGCTCGGCACCAGTGCCAAAAACTTCCAAAATCACTTCAAGCTTCAAGCCCCGATTGAGCCCAAAGCCAGCTGCGAATTGCTGATTACATCGAGCCGCCACAGAGCACTTCACCGAATGCAAAGTAACTCAGAGGATGGAAGGCCACTCGGGCTCCAGCTGCGAAGTTCTAATGACATCGACCTGTCAAATGAAATCAAACTGAATGCCGACCACGAGAAACGACCAAAGGCCACGGACTCTGGGGCTCCAGCTGCGAAGCTCCAATGACTTGACCTTGACCTGTCAAATCAAGGGAACTGGCCAAGCACCTCACAAAGGATCATCCGGCCACGGACTCTCAGACGCTGGCTGCCAATTTAGTGTTTGAGGACATCGGCCTGGCACGAGAACGTCTTCCAAGCTCTCTTTTCGGACTCGGACCTCTCGAACGCACACCACCCCGACACACGAAATCAATGCACCGGAGGGTAGCTGACGCAGGATTTCAATGCTCCGGACAGGTCATGACGCAAGATTTCAATGCACCACACACTTCCCGACGCAGATTATTAATGCACTACAATGGAACCAGTGCATTGAAAACCACTGACAAGGCGACCCTTGACACCGAAACTTACGCTTCACAAAACGCCCCAAACAACAGTTACTGCATTGAAACGATTCGCAACAAGGCAAAACAAAATCAATGCACTGGAACACTTCCAGTGCATTGAAAACCCATACTTTCACAGCCTCGGGATTCGGGGAAATCCAAATTTCAAAATAGCTTGGGTGGTCCCACAAGAAGGAATCAATGCACTGGAACACTTCCAGTGCATTGAAAAAGTTTACAACAAGCCAACAAGAAATCAATGCACTGACTGAAGTTTCTTACGCTCCTGCACCGATGTCACTGTGGACGTCTCTGAAAGACGACACGCAAAGGCGCCTTCGGTGCCAATGCGTCCAGCACACTACGGTGCAAAACGGGCTCCGCGTCGTTCGCACTCGGTCGGTCTCCGAGACGATTCAGCCAGTTGAGAGCACGAAAGCGAGCCTGCCTCCACATAGTATCATTGACCAAGCGCTGCAAATAGTCAAACGCTCTTCTGTACTCTTCCTTATGGCTCCGACACGAAAACAAACCACAGTAGACAGTGGGTAATACCTCTCTTAGAGACTTATTATATAATAATAATAATTAATAATAATAATAATAATAATTCTAGTATTATTATTATGACATAATACTATATATGATTCCCACGATAACATATGGTTTTCCCAGTTTGAAACCACAAGCCGCATCTTTTTCTGCATCATGCTGCTTGACACAGACTTCCAATCTTCAAATCCAGGCAATGCAGAGAAGGCTAAGACAATTGTTAAGATCAAGTCTAGAATCCTTTCCATTTGCAACCGCCCTGACGATAAAGAATCTGTGCGGAGCTAGGAGCTAGTAGCACCGTGTTATGTTTTGTAGATTTTGCAGGGGGTCAAACGTTGGCACCATAGGAATGATACTGCTTTAGCCTGGCTTGGCTAGTCTATTCATGCTCAACACAGCAGACGACCACCGCAACAACACAATGACAATGCTTCGTGGGCTTTCGTTGCCGACACCCCACTTTACTTCAACTTAAAGTAGATTCACGCCAAACACCGCAATCCAAACCGAAAGCCAATGCCAGCAACGTTCAGACCGGGTGCACCGTACGCCTGTAGCACGAGCTGGCCAGTCTTCTGCCATTTCTCCTTGGAGCTGTCCTTGTCCCGGAGACCGTGCTTCTCAGAAGGCACCAAGCCGCCGTGCAAGCAGCGCTGGGTAGGCATGCACACCATCGGCTCTTGCCCCAAATCGACGGAGCAGATGTACTCCTTCACCATGACAACTACATCAAGAGCTCCAGGTGTACCAGCACCACGACGTCGCTTCACGCGCTCTTGAAGAGCTGCAGGCAGATCTGTCGCAGTCAACAGAAGCCACGATGAAGGTCAATTAACTCCGGATGGGGCCCCAAAAACCTTCAGGAAAACACAAGTAATCTCAAGTAACTGGAAGAACTATGGATTTGTTAAATGATAAGGCCTCGATACAACATGAACAGGAAGAAGTGATTCGAGCTCTTGTCGCAAAGCAGACCGCCTTCAAACTTGACACCAGTTTTGGCAACGTGGTCGGCCCAGGCTCTGACCGCAGCGGACTTCTCCACGCAAACAGCAACATGAGTGCCCAGCCAGGACCGCACACCCGGCCTGAATCACAACCCCTGGACCGGTTACATTTAACCGGACCCGCAACTCCCTCGAACGTGGAAGCAGCATGCCAGTTAATTGGGGAGAAGTTTGAAACCACCCCGGGATTAATTGGTAACTCAAAGGCCTCTGGCATTCGTGCTGCAGCACCTTGATTACGTCCTCGTCGTTCAAGATGCGGTCAGTAGAGGCCAGGCGCCGGGCCAAAATGCCGAAGAGTTGGTCTGTGCGACAAAAGGAAAGCAACTTAACGTGACGGGAGGGTGTCAAGTGAGTTAAAAGACAGAGATAAAGAACCGTCGGAACTCGGAGCCCTTACAAATGACACTTCCGCTCGGCCTAATCCGTTGTGTGTGTGAGATTTGCGCAGGAATGCCAGGGCGGCCACGCGCACTTTGAAGCGCTGCACCAGCAGGCTAAGATAAGCCAGAACGAACGCGTTCTTGTTTTCGCGCACACAATTGTCTCCCTGGTCCACGTTCATTCCGAGGGTAAGGTGTTGATTTACACAAGGACTCTGTCCCGTCCAATATTGAATAATAATTAATTATATCTTATAGCTGTAGCTTCTTAGTGCTGCGCGAAAAACTGTACTCGTACGATGCCATGCTGCAGCCAGCACCAGCTGCTCTGGCATACGTTGTTGGCGATCCAAACATATTTGCTGAACCTGGCAAATGTCACTGCATGCTTTTGCTTTAAAACTGTGAGCAATTGGCAACTTAAAGTCAGACGTACTGGGTTTTAATACTTCCATTCCCGCACCTTTTCAAGGGTCTCGGATATGAGATCCAAAACGAAGCTGGAGTCATGCCTGAGAGTCTCGTCGGCAACTCTGATGTTCAAGATGTAGCCATGAGCGTGGCAAGCGTGAACCATCATGCGCGGCCGGATGGCCGAAGCTAGAGCGGAGGAACAGCGCAATTGAGGATCTCGTGGCACCGCGAATTTGGCTTGATCCATCCCGTCCACTGAAAGCAGCAAGACGTTGGAGTCTTGCTCGCCAGACATGGCCTCGAGTTCCCAGACTTTGGATCTGTCGTCATACTGATCTCTCAGGTGGTTTCTGTAAGCCTGAAGGCAACCCAGCTTCTTCTCCAGTGAAAGACCTTTGTCTGCCAGAGAAGCCTTGAGTTGTTGGCAGATCTCGCATGTAGTGAACCTCCAACGCAACACGTCGAAGGAAGCTAGCTTTATCACTTGCTGGTGCCGTTTAATCTTGAATGGTACTCGCTTGTAACTGCAAAATTCGCAAATTTGCACCAGGAGACATCGACTTCTGCCTGAACCTCAGAACATCCTTCCAGCCATTGTTGTACACCCGCACAAAGGTTGAAAACCTCCGCAGCAAGCTGTGGACCACAGCACTCAGACTCTCACACAGTGGCAAACAAACCTTCAAACTCAACACCAAGCTGCGAGGCTGGGCTAGCCCCAACCATTGCTTGGACAGCGGAGTAGTGCTCATACAGCTCGTGCAGGGACCCAGGTGGTAAATACCGACGAACGAGGTGGCTGTTGGCCACAGTCTGACCATACACCACCCCGCGAGCCGGGCAGTCCAGCCATGCCTCCACAAGCAATCATGGACGATTGGAGTGCAACTCTTGCAAATTGTCTGGACAAAATTCACTTCATGACAATGTCAGGAGATTGCACCCAGTCCACTGAGTGGTAAATTCCCAGCTGCTAATTTCGGATTCTCAAGTTCCCCCCCCATTCGAATGCCTTCAAATTATCTGCGTCCTCGTCGGCATCGCTATCGACAGCCCCTTCCAGTTCGCTCTTTTCGTCATCATCCAGACATCTCTCGCGCTGTTGCCCGCGCTTGATAAACCTCGCTTGGGGGATGCTGGTCCTAATAAGTTGTTCGTGAGCGTGACTCTAATGTTTTTATGCTCCTATTCTCCTTTCCTGCCTGTCTGGCAGAGCTTCGGCCACTTGTAGATGCTGCAGGCGTAAGAATGCGTGGCAACTGGCTGCTGCAAGTTTCTGTCCGGTACCCTTCGCCCCAAATCGCAGGTCTGGCAGCACCCGGAAATCTTTCTGGAGTCGATGTGTTGAAACGCCCAACAGCTGTGATAAGCATTTGCCTTGGAGCAGTAGTGAATAGGTTCAGCATCCAGCTTTGAACCAAAAGACCCCAAAACCTAACCCCCCCCACCCCCGCGTTTCAATTCAACATCTTGAAGTTTGACGGTGTGGGTCAGTCACAAGTGCTGCTGCTGGCAAGTGTCCGGACCCAAATCTCTGCCCCAGCAATGTCCATTGACGCGGGCCACTCACTCGTTTGCTGCTGGAAGAGAAACAGGAAGTCAACTGAGAGGGAGGTCAAATATGAAGGCTTCAAACCAACTTGTATCCTACTGTACAATGAAACTTCTAAGTGCAAAGAAATCTGAAAGGTCGGGTTGCCAGTTGGTCCTGCTCCTGCTTAGTGCAACTCCAAAAGGATTCCATAAAAGCTTTGACCTCCTTCATCTTCAAGTTCTGGAAACACGTCTCTAGTGCACCTTAGATCGAAATACAGATCAAAATGTAATGGAGCGACTGTCACTGCCACTATGGTGGACTGACTTACTTAATACGAAGTATTTCCCGAATCCTCCATGGCCCCATTACATCAACGTTGAAATGACAAACTCTCCAGCTCTTACTCTTGATCTCAATAACGAATTCAGTGTCGGGATGCATTGACATTTGGATGAAAGGACTTTTCGTATTCGCTGCACAGACTTACCGTTGTTCTCGAATG